TTTTATTCAAGAACAATATTTTTGTTCTTTATTTTTGTTTATGTTTGTTCTTTCCAATTGCATCTTTAGCTTCTGCAGGGCAGGAATCATTTCTTATTATTTCTGTAGCCCTAATATCTAAGAGAATATTAAATTATCTATAAATATTTGTTGAACCAATCCTGATGCTTCAAATTCAGTCTATGGTAGGCTGCTGAAAAAAACACTGAATTCTCAGAGATGCAATCTGGCATTCTCAGACCTGTCCTCTGACATTCACAACACTTTAGAAGGAAAGCAAAGCAATGGCAGCTTGTTTACATGAGACTTGCTCAAAAACGAAATATGCCTAAGGTGCTACCATCAGGTAAGAGAAACTGTCTACTCCATACCCTGGCATCAGGAGCCTTCAAGTTCAGTTCAGAGTGGTTGTTACTGAAGACATTCAATGATTGCCAAAGCATGCCTGTTGGGCATCCTTTTGAAATCAGCTCAATTTCTAGAAAAATGTTTGTCAATAAAAGTCTTGTAGGAATGGAACATGTACATTAACTGTGTCTAGGGCCTTGCTTCAGTCCTTTATGTAAGGATTTACAAAACACTGCCTATGAGATTTTGTAAATGAGGCCCTTAAGTCCAAGGCCTGGTCACCTTGCTGAGTAAATGAGGAGGAAAGGACAAAATGCTCAGGATTCATCTTATTAGGCACAGTAAATCAGGGAATGCTTTAGAGGATGCTTCCTTGGGTGCACTATTAGGAGAAAGAGTCTGCTTTTAACAAAGATCTATACGGAATGACATTACAGTACCAGTCACACTCAGTTAAGCCTTGCTTAACAAAATGCTGCTTTCTACATCGCAATTATCTCAGTCACTCTAAATCAATAGACGTTAGGTGGAGTTTAGTCCAAAAACTATCTTATGTTGTGATGGCTCCCAGGATGTATTTCTTTGGAATGTGTTACCAATTCCAGCTTTCCCTTAAAGGGCCGTTTTAGTTAGTTTAAGGAACTGGTGTGGTACATGATCTGAGAAATTATGCGAATTCCCACGACTAAATGCAGGTTTCTCTACAGACCAACAACGTTTTAAGTATTCCTAGATGACTCTTTCCTGCACAGAGATTGACCGATTTAAATAATCGGGGGCCTCATGCATGTAGAAAAGTCTGATAAGACCTTCACTTTGAATTTGCTAGAATCTTACCCCTATCTGAGATTCCAGGATATAACTTAGCCTGTAAAAAGAGGAAACTTAAGCTGTTTGTCAAAATACACCCTGAGGTAGATGTTGTTGAAACTCTTCTGTTCACCCTGACTTGGAGATTCACCTCTGAAGCAGCGGTCAGCTTGCCTCCTGGTAGGAGGAACTCACAAACACTGAATGCTTCTCTAAGCAAACATGCATTCTAGGTGACCTTTTCCTTTTGTATTCTTAACACTGATTTATCACCATCGCAGCTGCTTAACATTTTGCAGGGTGGTTCCTCATCATCCCTGTTTTCTCCATTCTTCATATTCCCTGTTTGAAAAAAGAGCTCTGTACTTTAAATATTTGAGATGCAGCAGCAGTAAATGTTTCCAGGCTTTGATTAACACTATGACTGCTAAGAGAGAAAGAGTATAAAACATCTGTAATGCCAAACTTCAAGAAAAAGAAAAAGGAAAAAAATAGCGAAGCATTGTTTGTCATAGTGTCACTAAACGTTATCACTCAGAATCAGTCCTATTTGTTTATGAAAACTTCTATTGCAAGATCTGAAAAAGAGAAGCTTAGGATTTTCTAGGAGAAAAAAAAAAGAGATCAGTTTTTCTAGCTAAAGAATAGAAGCTTTTAAATTACTCCCCACGAAGGTCTGTAGGGAAAATAAATAACTCTAAGAAGAATAGTATGTCTATTATGGGGCTATTATTAAGATTTCAAAACAGTAAGGGACACTGAAGAACCCATTTTAAGCAGCGATTGTCACCTAGTGGAGAACCACTTTTAACTCAGGATTGTTATGTTTCAAACTGAGGTCAAGGAAAAGAAAGGTCCCTTTGGCATCCCTCAGATAAATCAGCCCGCCTTCTCCAAACCTCCTGCTGATAAATACTGTGCTTTCCTGGTGCACTTCTTAAACAGTTTGTGTGAGTGGGAGATGTAGGACAAGGCAAGATCTCCTGCTCTTGGCTCATTTTCCCCATATGGGCCAAATCCTCACCTTCATTTTCTCATTTCCTTAAAAACAGAAAAATTTTTAAAAAATGTTATGACCGCCATACCTGATGGGAAATCACTGGTGTTGAACTTGTCACCCTCTTAATCCACTTATGCTGATAGAGTGCTGATTTGTGCATCTAATTACTGAAGCCTAATTATTGCTGCACTGAAATCAGTGTGGCATGATAAATCTGCACCACATTCCCAGGAATGAGACCCACAGTGGCCCTCCTCCTCATGTTAGTGGTGACCTTATTTACAGTCTTATTCAGAAGCAAGCTTTGTCAAAGATTCAAAGTCATCTCTTACAGGCATCAGGAGCTCTGCAGTACATGTCTGAAACTAGCATTATGAAGTTGTAGGTAATGAAGTTTGGTTTCATAAGTGGAAATTACTAATTTATTAGAGTTCTTTGAGGTGGAAAATAGGAATGTAGATAAAGAAAAACCCATAGATGCATTTTACAAAGTCTTTGTAAAGCACTTTTGAAAATGTTCCACACCAAGAGTTGCTAATATATGTAAATGCTATATTCCTGGGACGGGGCAGTGCTCTTTTATCTCAGAAAGTAAACTGGTTTAAGAGGTGAAAATAAAAAGCCCAGAATGCACGCGATCATTTCTTGTATAGAAGGATAAACTAGAAGGAGAAAAGAATGGAGTTGCCTGGGGTCAGAGTTATGATGGATTATATTTAACATGCTAATTGGATGGTGTTGATGGGCATTGTGGTTTCCATTGGCAAGACTCACTCCTAAATACTCTTTCAGTGTGTCATAAGTGTGACAAGGGAACCTGCATTTAAAAATTTTAACTGACAGTCTTATATTTATAGCTGATTTGCTAGATGCCAGGTACTCTTCTGAGAATTTCACAAGAAATAACTCTATCATTCCTTATAACAACCCCAGAAGATATTACTATCACTATACTCATTTTACAGATTAAGAAACTGAGGTATGAAGTAATCAAATAACTTCTCCAAAATCACAGTGAGTGACAGAGCTACTAAGATATGTTAAAAAAATATTTTCAGTGATGACCTAGAAGAAGAAAATGGACATCATTGATAATTCTTTGCTAAAATGCTGCTTCAGTTTATAGCTCCTCTCCAAAAGGCTTTAAGTATAGTGACTTATATTGAACATAAGTACATAGACTCTATTTATGTTTAAGGAAATATTTGTTAGCCTTCATTGGTCATTTACTTTATTACTGTTTTTGGAATGTATAGTCCTTGGTAGTAAAATGGGGCTTAATTATATGAAAGAAAAGTAGAAAAGAAAAGAAAAGTAGAACAAATTGCTGGGTTTTCCTCCTTCTTGCTGATCAGGAAACTATTCTCCTTCACTTTTTTGCTTTGATGTGTATATTTGTGTATTTGTGTGTGTGTGTGTGTGTGTGTGTGTGTGTGTTCAAAAAGATTCAAGAAACTTCATGGGTTTACAGAGGCTTAGTAAGTAGACAAGGGGAATGGAGTAAGTAAGGAAAGTGTCAATTCATTTTCAAAAGAACAACCAAAGGAAAAGAGATAACAAAATCAGAGTTTAAAATAATGGAATAAGTGCTAGAAAAGGCTGAGAACAAGGTTGGGCAGGCTGTTTTGGATTTTCTAACAGGGTTCTTATAATCTCCCAGTGATGGTGCAATGTGATGTGGAGGCTGAAGGCAAAGACACATTAGTTTCCTAATGCTTTATTTCAGGGTGACTTCAATCAAGCAAAATCAAGTTTGTGTCAGGTCCTTCTTGGTGATAGCTATGAGTTAACAAAAAGAGCAGAAATTTTCAGCTCCAAGATTTCCATTTATCAATTAATTTATAACACTATACAATTAATAAGGAACAGGGCCTTTTGCTATTCTGAATGGTCTTTAACACCTAGCAAAGGCCTGGACATCAATATTTGAACTGAATTTAATTGGCTATATTAAATTGGCATATCTTAAACCTCCTCTTTGTGTCTGGAACACAAAAAGTGGTGTAGGGTTATTCAATTTAAGGTTTCAACTTCTTTTTTTCATTTGATTGAAGTTGTATGAGGAAAATACAGCCTATGTATTACATATTTATGTTATCTTCATACACACAAATGCTTTTACTAAAGCAATCTTGTCCTCAGCTATATTTTAGAATTATATAATATCATTGTACCTATATCAAATGGGGTTACTACCTAAAAAAAATAGGTATAATTCTTGGAAATAATTTCTCATTAAAATAAAGAAATAAAAATTGAAGACTGGCCCAAACACAAAAAGTTTGCATCCTAACTTTTTTTCCATAGAGATCACAAATTCCCTGAAACAACATAAAAATTTCATAGTCTACTGCCCATTAGTTGAAGAAAATATGGTCATTGCCACATCTTTAAAACACGAAAAACATTAGCTCTTCTTCTAATGCATCTGTCAACCTCCTAAAGAAACAAACAATCTGTGAATAGTTCAGCACATATTTACAGGCATAGTGGATTTAGTCTAACATTTCCCCACCTGGAGAAACTGGGCTTAAGTATCTTCAGCAACCAAAAAGCAACACTGCGCTCTTCGCAATATGCCATGTCACCTTTGTAGCAATCATACACTTGCAGGGATGGGACTTGGGGTTGGGGGTGGTTCTGATGTAGAAATTGCAGATGGAAAGCTGTGCTCTAGGGATGGAGACGGAGAGGAGCAGAGAAGAGCCTGGAGAAAAGACTGTCATATTTGCTCAGAAGAACCGCCAAATCAGAGAGCAGAAAAGATTTCATTGGAGGAGCACCTTTAACAGCAACTAATCCTGTCATATTGAAAGAAAATTGTAAATGTTCTCTCCAGAAATTGTCCGCCCATTGCAGCTAATCGAACACACAAGCTCGAATACAGACACGCTCTTTTGCTATACCAAAGGCGCCCAGGAGAAGACCCACTCGAGTGAGCGCTCACGGGCGCGCACACACACAGACCACACACACACACACACACACACACACACACACACACACACTCGCGCGCGCCGAGCGCCAGGCTGCGGGTTGGCCAGACCCCGGAAATCGCAGTAAAGCTCCAGAGGCACCGAAATAGGTGTTGCCCCCAAAACTAATTCCTACTTCCCCAAGCACTTTGGTGAAGAAATGAGTCCAGTCCTGCTCAACAGCGCATCCAGGTCTGGGTTCTGTTTTGGTCTCCAGACTCTTCATGAAAGCCAGGTTTGAAAGTCTTGTTTGCTTTTCCTTTGATGGTTCTGTGTGGAGGGCGGGGGCAGCATCAGTTTAACTCCAGTCTAAGCCCCGAACAGGTCCCAGGCTGGCCAAATGGCTGGGACGGGCGTTGGGTGAGCGAGTCTGCTTGAGCGCGCTCCAGCCCCGCAGCTCTCGCCCAAAGCCTCTGGGTCCGCTCTCTCCCCGCCTCCCCCGCCCCACCCTTCCAGTGTCGCCGCACCAACTAATCTTTTCCTTTTCTCTTGCAAGATCAAGGGAGAAAGCGAGCCGGCTGCGGGCTTCGGACTCTAAGCGGTGCGCAGATAGCGCCCGGGGGCTTCGGCCCTGAACCCGGGAACCTCGCGTCTGCCAGCCTCCACCAGAGCGCAGGCAGGGGAGGCAACTGGAGCTAGACCCGCGGCAGGTAAGCGCACCGCGCTGCTCAGCTCTCCGCCCGCCCGCCCGCGCCGGGAGCTCTGGCAAGGTGGGGTCTCTCCCAGTCCCCTGAACCCGGGGTCGGGGCTTGGGCGAATTGGAGAGAGGTCCTCCACCTGTGCACATTCTCAAATGGAAACTTTGGAGGGCTGAGGGCAGCGATGGCGGTCTGGAAGGAAAGGGCAAACGAGGCACAGTGCAGGGCGGGGGTGCGATTCCGCAGGTCACCGAGTCCAGCGGAATGTGGGGACGGCAGCCTGGGAACCGCGCTGGGCGGGCGTCGCTGCCTCTTCCAGTCCTCCACCCCGTCCACTGTCACCTACCCCCTGCCGACCCCATTACAGACGCCGTCACGGAAAAGACAGGAGAGCTTCGCCTCTCCCGCCCCGCAGGCGCCTTCCGCACTGGGGTCTGACCATGTCTTCTGGGAACCTGGGGTGGAGGCTCGGCCCGCCCGGCTCCGCGCCGTCCTCTGGCGCTAAACAGAGGTTTGGCATTGCGGTCCCTGGACCAAGGCCAAGGAGCAGAGGGGAAAAGGACAGGAAAAGGGTCCCAGGACAAAGGGGAGGGAAGCCTTCTGCAACCCCATCCTATTTCAGCTCTGCTCACGCACGAGGTCGGCTGTGCCCTGTGGCCGGGGGACTGGATCCCAGTCCTGAGCCTGTGAGGTCCCCAACTGTGCCTGGGCTTCACCAGCATCCGGCTCACAGAGGCTTCTGAGCCACCCGCCCGGCCTCGGGGTCATAAACGGGACTGCTCCCCGCGCCCCAGTGTCTCTCCCTGCCGGGTTCTGTGGACCTGGGCAACAGCCACTAACTTGTGGCTCTGGGAAGCCGCAAGGTGCAGTCGAACCCGGCGCGGGGTAGAACACGCAGAAATTCCACCCGGGCGCTCTGCCTGGCGCCACGGGGGTGCCCCCCACGGGATAAGTGGAGGTTCGCCTAGGAAAGGGGATAAGTCCCCAGAATTAGTGACACAACCAGGCGCACCCTTTGCGTCCATGCCCCTCAGCGCCCGCGTCTCTTTCTCTATCTTCCCGCCCGTCGCCGTCCTCGAGGCTATTCTGAGCCACAAAATCGTCCAAGGGAGGGTCCACTGGGAACCCGCCGGTCCCCGGCCGTGATAGCAAGGCTCTCGCGTGTGTGGAAACACCCGCGGGAAGAGCCACTTGGTGCGGAGTGGCGGGAGGAGGGCAGAAAAATGGAGGTAAACTCGCGAGGCAAGCAGAGCTGTCCGCTGACTTCTCACCCAAGTCGCCCTCCAGTGTCCTTACGGCAGTTCACCGCCACAGCACGTCTGTGCCTGCGGCCACCCGGGACTCCAAGTCTGTCTGCCAGGCGCAGCGAGCCCACCAGGGGCGCGGCGCCTCCCAGTCCTCAAGCTCTGGAATCCCCCACTTTGTCTTTCTATTTCCCTTTCTTCTGTTCCTTTTTGTTTGTTTTGCTTTTTCCTGCTCTTTTCTTAGCGCTGGGTGGCACTGGGTGCGTGGCAGCCGTGTGATTTGTCCGTCCCTTAGTACACGCAGCCAGCAACACACACACATGTCCCCACGCTTTGCGACACACCCGCCAGCGCTCCGGAGCGCAGCCCCCGCTCGACAGCCCCGGGCGCCTGCGGCCACCACCACAGTCACCGTCGCAGCCCAGGGCCGGCAGAGGGCTCCTCTGGCAGAGAGGAGAGTCAGCCCAGACTCCAGGAAGAAACCTGGGGCGACCCGAAAGGCCCATGAAAAACTGAAATTTGCATTGGGGACGAGATGGGGGAGGCTCTGGGGGAAAGGGCCCCTCCGCGCTGGGCTGTGGGAAGCTTTGGGAGGTCCCCGGGCTGACGCCCTGCAGGCCTCCGTCCCCGCCCCACCCAGGCGTTCCCACTGGAGCCCACCCGCGGGTGGCCCAGGGAAGTCCAAGTCTGATGGCTGGGTGCTGAGGTGGGCTAGCACCTGCCTTCACTCCAGCCAATTCTGGCGTCTCTGGATTGGGAGGGCTCCCAGAGTGAACAGGCTCCTAAACTCCAGAGTAAGGAGCCAGGGTTGTGTGACAAAGGCCACGCGTTGTGTTTTGCTGGCAACTGGTAGATATGCATAAATATATGGTGTATATATATATATATATATATATATATATATGTATATATATATAATGTGCATTTTCATTGATAAGCAAATAGTAGAGCTGATGATACACTTTAGTAGAAACCACAATTAGGCATACTTGTGTCATGTCAGGGCAATAATGACAAAGGCACTGATGATCATAGAAGCAAAACCAGTAGACTTGGCAGAGAGACAGTTTCATGCTGGGAACTGTATTAGGCTGTAATTCAGATAATGGACTTTTGAGACTTGTCAAATGGATGGAAGAAATTTGTGCCAACAATGTCATAGCTTTGCAGGCTTGGCAGCTAAGGATTGAAGAAGTAACAAGTTGATGCCAGACCAGATGACTTTTTATTGTTATTATTATTCTAATAATGTGTTCCAGTTGTGGCAATATAGTAGATAAACAACTTCTCATTGACTCTCTTTGCTTTTCTTGGCTAAATAATGTCAATTAAAACTTTAAAAAAAAAAGTGTAACCTGCCCCTAAGAAGGTGTGGAAACTCCACCCAAATCACTTTACTGTTTTAAAGCTTGTGAAGAGGTGGCATGGGAATGGGGGGAAAGTCCTGAGATGCAAAATTCAGGGTAGGCTAGCTGACAGATGCTTTATCTTCCTATAAAATAAAGAGGCATGTTCATTTTTGTAAATGTGCCTGAAGGTGCCCGGAGGGAAAATGAAGTGAGAAAATAGGTGGATTTGAATAGTGCTTTCATATAGTTCACGTATAAGAGAAACCAAGAAGATGTTTACAGTCCTCAACTGACTTAGGAGACAGATGTGAAAGAGACTAGCAGTTCGAACACAGGTAAAAGTTTCTTCAAAGTGAGTCCCCACAATTTCTCAATTTGGGGAAGGGGCTGAGAGTACTGTCTTCACATAAAAACAAAAACTAAAACAAAAAAAACAAGAATACATGGCTCTTAATGTGACCCTAACGTCTTCATTGCCCAGACAGGCCTCAAAGTCAGGCAGCTGGATGTATGTTTATTGGGCAATTTTCCAATTTCAATTTCAGAGCAGCCAGACCATAGGTCCAAGGGCAAAAGAGGGATGGGTAGCTTGAGAGGTCCAAAGAAAACAACAGTAGTCCTGGCCTGCCGGATAGTAGGGAAGTCACAGAAAACATTAATGATGCTGTCTTCAATGGAGACTAAGCTGGCTAATTAGGAATCACAAGTTCCTTCCACAATCTCTCTTACCCACAGCAATGAATAAAGTTAAAGCAAGTGCAAAAGAGGAAGAAGAGGAGAAATTAGAATAAAAGGGAAATGAAGAGGGAATGGGAGACAGAGGGAAAATATGGCAAGAATCTGTGGGTATGTCAATAACAGTGCTAGGTTCAACTCTATCACATATGCCAGCCTGTTTCGGGTGTGCAGGTGAGAGAATGCTTATCAGGAATTGTCTTCACATGACCACCCAAATCCCATTCTTAATCCTACTTAAACTTTCTTCACTTTACTCAATAGGATAGAGACAGAAATCTTCTGTCCCAGAATTTCCGTGAAGGACTAGTTTTCATTATTTAAACTTGTATTTGACTAGGGTTGACATTTTATGATGTTGGTTCTTTGTGACATATTTCTGAGCAGATTCCTATGTATCAAATGCAATGAATTTCCTCTTTGTGACTATTTACAACTGGCTTTCATTTCTTGTCATCTGCATCCACTTCCACCTCTGGTTCATTGAGCAGGTGTTGGAACTTCTTTAAGGGTTATCAGTGCTCATGTACTGACTGCATATCCCAAATTCACCTGGGCCAGATGGAGGTGGTGGTGTGTGTTTTGTGTGGGAAAGGGGAAGCAGATTACATTTTCTTGGACAGGTATTTTCACCAAGTGTGTTCTAAGTCCCTGTCACTATTCTAAGCACTTATATGTATTATATTATCTGATTTGTTAGTGTTTTATCCTCATTGTTTAAGACAGTGTCAGGCACATCCAGGAACTTATTAAATATTTATTGAATGAGTTAATAGATTAATCAATTTTCTCATTTTATCACTGCAACAATCCTATGAAGTAGATGTTATTTTCCTGATTTTACAGAGGATGAAACCAGCATTCAGAGGGGTCTGGTGATGACCCAAGATCATACAGCTGGTAAGTTGCAACTCCTGACTTCAAACACAAGCCAGTTGCACTCTAGGGTCTTTGCTCTTACTCTGTACCAATTGGTTCTCTATAAATAGTCATGGCACTTGTTTTTCTTGTGTTTGGAGAGAGGAGGGAACTGTGATGTTCAGAGTTCAAGATGTGTTCCCTATCTGTTTAAGTCAACTTTGCATGTTCTTGTTGGATCTGCTACACCCCAAACAAAGAAGATTCAGTGCTGACTAGGTTTTTAGTTGGCACAAAATGCTTGATCTATTTAGTTAGTGATTGCCTCTGGCAGAGGAAAAGAAGGCCACCAAAATTACTTGACATTTTGGCAAATGCCATTTCCATGTATACTAAGACATCACTAAATGGATATTGTTTTTTCTGGTGCAAAAGAATAAAATATAATTTTGATATTGTCCAGTTTAACTCATGTTAGGAAGTGAATGAAGAGACTTTTCCAAGGTGACACAGCTCAACAAAAACTGCATAAAATCACCCCCATCCCAACTTCAAGTCTAGCCATCTCTTCATTTTGCTAAGCTAAATGAGTTCTTCTGTTTCTATAAGATTATTGGCACTTAGGATTCTGAAATTTCAATGACTGCATTTAATTTAATTAGACTTTATTATCTACATTTGCTTTGAAAGGTGTAATGTTACTTTGTGAACTGCTATTAGCAAAGAATGAGGTAAGTTCCAGTTGGTGTGCCTCATTCCACTCTTGATGTATTCTTGTCTTACTTTATTTCCTTTTTTCCCCACATGTTCAAGCTCCTTCTTTTAT